AGAGAAATTTTTAAGTTATCAATTAAAAGATAAATTAAAAATTCCCCCTATGTATGAAAACTTTAAGATAATTTTTAAGCCCAGCTAGTGTCATTCAGTGAATCGTCCCATGGACTGAGAGGTCCCAGTTTGATTCCCAGTCAGGGCACATACCCAGGTTGCAGGCTCGATCCCCAGTACGGGGCATGCAGGAGGCAGTTGATAGATGCATCTCTCTCAACTCAATGTTTCTCTCTCTCAATAAAAACATATTTTTAAAGAAAGATAAATTTTAATTGTTCATGGGTCAAAGGCAATAATGGGTCTGAACCAGGAATGATTTATCCCCTTGGGGAAACTGGCAATATCTGGAGTCATTTTTGTTTGTCACAAGTGGAGGATTGCTAGTAAGCATCTAGCGAATAAAGGACAGGGATGCTGCCTGACAGTTTACAATGCAGAGGATAACACCCACAACATTGACCGTTGCCTCCTGCATGCCCCCCACTGGAGATCTGGCTCACACTTGGGTATGTGCCCTGACCTGGAATCTAGCTGGCGACCTCCTGGTGGATGGGTCAATGCTCAATCACTGAGCCACACTGCTGGGCACTCCCAGCTTTTAAATAATGCAATCAATACCAACTAGTAATTCTAAATGAATAAAAAAAATTATTTTCCTATGATTATGAATAATATGCAAACCTAATTTGCTTCCTAAATTCCTATTAGTATGTAGTGGAATTAGTAAGGACACACAAAATGACCAAAGAAAGTGATTTCAATCATTTCAAAAACTTGCATTTCACATGATAGCAAGCTGCAACCAAAACTTGCTGGACTTGGACTGTCTCTGTCCAGAGGCCAAGGAAGAAATGCTTCCTGGCACCAGCAAGAGCTACCTGAGTCTCCCAGGTCCCAATGCCCTGACCCACTTTACTTGCTGCGGCTTCTTGACTAGCATCTCCATGTTGCCCATCATGTGCCCCTGCAGGCCATGGGCATCCACCTCAGGCAGGCTGGCTAGCCAGCCACTGGTCAAATCCCACACTGAACCACAACTACATACCCAGGGGTTCCCTGGCACCAGGGGTGGAACTGCATCACCATCAGCTCTCCAGTGAGATAACATCTGAGCTTACCTAAACTATTTAGGGTTATCAGTAAATCACCCATTCTTAGTTTCAACTATAAAAAAGGAGGCCCAGCCCTGGCCAGTTTGGCTCAGCGGTTGAGTGCTGGCCTGCGGACCAGAGAGTCCCGGGCTCGGTTCCTGCTAGGGGCACAAACCACAAAAAAAAAAAAATGAGGCCCAAATTTTTAAATATTTTTAAAACACTTAAACGCAATTTAGTATACAAACTCTGAAATTATTCCTAACGAGTCACAATCACATGAGGTATAAGTTATGCTTAAAAAAAAGAAATAAAAAGTTGGCTGCCCAGACAGTGTGGCTCAGTGGATTGAGCATTGTCCCATGGACTGAGAGGTCCTGGTTCGATTCCCGGTCAGAGTACATGCCCCAGTTGCTGGCTCAATCCCTGGTAGGGGGTGTGCAGGAGGCAGCCAATTGATGTTTCTCTCTCACATGGATGTTTCTATCTCTCTCTCCCTTCCTCTCTCTCTAAAAAAAAATCAATAAAAACATATTTTAAAAAAAAAAGAGTTGGTAAACAACCAACACAACAATCTTCTAATCCTTGCTTGTTTCGTTATTAATGAGTGCAAAGAATACTATTTTAAAGAATTATGGCAATTGGCACCACTTTAGCAGCTGCCTGTCCAAAAGACCAATTTGAGAGAAAACAATCTGCTATATTTTCATCCTATATGCAATGTTTGGCATAGTACCTTGCAAAGGTATTTGCTGGTAATTTCTTCTCTTTAATCTTGATACCAATACAGGGCTTCCTTGATAGGCGAACAAATCTAAAAGTATTTTCAATGTCTACTAGATCAGTTTAATTTTCTCAAAATCTCAAATATTTAACCAAATTATGATAAACACAAATACAATCATTATATAAACACAAAGGAAAATCATAGACTGTTATCCAATGTTTCTCACTGATTATAAAATATGGTTTTAAAAAATGCAAGACCAGCCAAGCCAGTGTGGATTTGTGGCAATGTACCAAGAGGTCACTGGTTCCATTCTGGGTCAGGGTACATGCCCAGGTTGTGGGCCATGCAGAAGGCAGCCAATCGATGTTCTCTCTCATGGATGTTTCTATCTCTGACTCCTTCTCCCTTCCTTTCTCTCTAAACTCAATAAAGAAAAAAAATGTTTTTTTAATGCAAGACCAATCCCTCACAACGTCCACAAAAATAAACTATCAAGGCAATGTTTTATTTGTTTGTTTCATAATTTTTCTCTTTTTTTAATCTCTTTTTGTTGTTAACCCTCACCTAAGGATATTTTTCCACTGATGTTTTAGATAAAATGGAAGGGAGGAAGGGAGAGAGAGAAAGAGAGATAAAACAATTGACGTGAGAAAGACACATCAATTGGTTGCCTCTTGTACAACCCCAACCAGGGTCAGGGATCGAACTGCAACCCAGGTACGTACCCTTGACTAGGAATCGAACCCGAGACCCTTCGGTCCAATACTCTTACCGCAAAACCGGCCAGGGCCATAATTTTTCTTTATTGTTAATAGCAAACAAATGCCTCCACTTGTCCCATCTTTCTCCGTTTGCCTGGTCTTTTGCGGGGGAGGCCCATAAGCGAACTCATTCAACAGTGTGATACTACCCTCATGGACAATAATTTGAATACTAACATCTTATTAAAATAAAACTTAAAAAAAAAAAAAAAAAGCCTTGCATTTGCTTTTTTCTTTACTGTGCTTTAACATACAATATTTCATTTTCATTCATTAAAGTTTTCGAACATTAGCAGGCTGTAACTTTTCCCATTTGAGAGATGATAAAACTAAGGCCCAGAAATGGAAATGACTTTCCGAAAGTCAGACAGCACATAGATGCAATGAAGAGATTGCATGCTTAACATGTCCCAGACCTAGGTCACAAATATAACTGACCTTTTTATTAGGCTCTCCATCTACCACAAAAAAAAAAAAAGCCCACTGAATTTAGAAAAACTCTATAGCACCAAGACCAGATGGTTTCAAAGACTTACACTCAATTTTTAAGAAACAGAATCCAATGCTATTTAAGCTGTTCCTGAGCACAAGAGGAAAAAATAGTAAGCTTTAAGCTTTAAAATCCTTTAAGAAACAAGCCTACAGCAGCATTTAAAATCTTGCTCCCTGGCATATGTCCTCAGTTTGGCTCAAATAAACTCACAGAAATTCAAAAAAAATCTTTATAAAAAAGAAGCAAGTCTAAAATGGGTAACATAACCTGACAATTGGCCTAAGAAAACTGCAAAACAATTTAAGAGAACTGATGAAAAGTCTTTCAATAGATGAGCAAGCAAAATCCAAAAGCACATTAAAATAATAAACCATGACAAAAGATTATTCCAGGAATGCAAGGATGGTTCAATATTAGTACATTTGTTATATAATTATTTGTATATGTATGTATAGATAGATAAGAATATAAACACATACACATATAAATGTATACCCGAACCAACACACATTTTCTAGCTCTATTCACTAAGCAACACCCCAATATCAGTAACACCTAGATCTTAGTTCGTAATTATTTGGGGTAAGGGAAGTTCAAGGTGAGCCTAAATATCTCACTACACCCAAAAAGAAGTGTTCAAAGAATGATGGGACATGTCAAAAGGACACAAAATCCCAATTGAAGTGTTCCCATGTGTCAAGCCTATTAAATGTAAGCATTAATATAAATAACATTAACAGATTATACTCACTGAATAAAATAGAAAACCATAAATCCAAATTGATCATAATAAATGAATAAATTAAAAGCTCAATAAGGAACATGATATTTACATAGTTTTCCTAAAACAAACAGTAACTTTGGAGCAGAGAAACATAGTTAATCAAGCAACAAAGAGAACATTACCAATAATGTTCAATTCTAACTCAGGGCACAAGCCCGGATTGTGGGCTCCATCCCCAGTAGGGGGCAAGCAAGAGGCAGACAATCGATGTGTCTCTTCTCCCATTGACGTTTCTATCTCTCTCTCACTTCCTCTCTCTCTAAAAAAAATCGATAAAGACATTTAAAAAATAAATAAAAACATATTTTTAAAAAATAGAACAAAATAAAAGTGCGTGCCACTTGGTAAGATGTAATTAAAAGAATACAGCATAGTCCTGGCTGGTCAGTTGGCTGGAGCATCATCCAGTACACCAAAAGGTGGTGGGTTCGATTCCTGGTCTGGGCACATGCTCAGGTTGTGGGTTCTATCCCCAACTGGTGCATGTACAAGAGGCAACCATTCAATGTTTCTCTCTCCCCCTTCCTCTTCCTCTCTAAGAATCAATTAAAGAAAGGGGGGGGAGGAAGAGGGAGGGGAGGGGAGGAAAGAATACAGCATAGCTGGGTGCGGGGTACAGGAGAGGTTGGGTAGAGGTAGAGGGATTGAGAAAAGAAACAGAAAGAACTGATGGACAGGACAACAGTGTGGTGACTGTAGGGTGTGGTGGGGGTGTGGAGAAAGAGGAAGGTATAGGGACAATGAATGGTGATGGAAAAAAATAAAGAATGCCCTGGCTGGTTTGGCTTATCAGTTAGAGCATCAGACCAAGGACCAAAGGTCTCAGGTTCAATTCCTGGTCAAGGACATGTGCCTATGTTGCAGGTTCAATCCCCGGCCCAAGTTGGGGTCGTGCGGGAGGCAACCAATCAATACATCTCTCACATCAATGTTTCACTGGAGAAATATCCTCAGGTGAGGATTAACCAAAAAAACAAAAAAAAAAAGTTTAAAATAAAGAAAAAGTAAATAAAGAATACAGCATAATCTATGATATTCCTGACAATGACGCTTCAAGAATCTAATCATGAAGAAATAGCAGAAAAACAAAAATTAAGGTAGAATCTGTAAAATTAACTGGTCTGTAATGTTTTCCCCCCAGGGGAGAACACAAACGCAGTCCACCAGTACCACAAATTATGCAGTGGAGTTTCCCACATTTGGGAAATCACAGGTGTCAGCACATCCAGAGTACAATGGATAAGCCTCACCCTGGGAAAACTACCTTCATGATCATGGTATCTCCCTGCCAGGTAAGTATTGGCCTGTAATTTTTAAAGGTGACAACATTATTAAAACCAAAGACGACTACGGACTATTTGAGACTGCAGCTACTTTCCTGAAAACAAGAAAATGCATGCATCATTCTGGACTATATACTTTTGCAAATAACAAACGGTGAAATGTAAAGGGTTAAAAAGTAGATGATAGTAATATATCACTTTAATTTATGTAAGAAACTCTCTTTGTGGACCCAAGACATTATTAATATTATAATTAATTAATGTCAATTAATACTTGACAAAGGAGGAAAGAGCATACAATGGAGTAAAGACAGCCTCTTTAATAAATGGTGTTGGGAAAATTGGACAGCTACATGCAAAAAAATGAAACTAGACCACCAACTTACACCATACACAAAAATAAACTCAAAATGGATAAAAAACTTAAATGTGACCTGTGAATCCATACAAATCCTAGAAGAAAATGTAGGCAACAAAATTTCAGACATCATACACAGCAGAATTTTCACTGATACATCACCCAAGGCAACAGAAACAAAGGAAAAAATGAACACATGGGACTACATTAAATTAAAAAGCTTCTGCACAGCAAAAGAAACAACCATCAAAATGGAAAGGGAGCCCAGTATATAGGAGAGCATCACTGCCAATGATACATCAGATAAGGGGTTAATTTCCAAAATACATAGAGTACTCATACAACTCAACAAAAGGAAGACAAAGAACCCAATTAAAAAATGGGCAGAGGAACTCAATAGACACCTCTCTAAACAGGACATACAAATGGCCAAGAGACATATAAAGAAATGCTCACCATCACTAATCATCAGAGAGATGCAAATTAAAACAACAATGAGGTATCACCTCACACCTGTCAGAATGGCCGCCATCAACAAATCATCAACAAAACAACAAGTGTTGGCGAGGGTGTGGAGAAAACGGGACTCTAGTCCACTGCTGGTGGGAATACAGACTGGTGCAGCCACTATGGAAAACAATATGGTATTACCTCAAAAAGTTAAAAATTGAACTTCCATTTGACCCAGTGAACCCACTTCTAGGAATATACCCTAAGAAGCCTGAAACACCAATCAGAAAAAATATATGTACCCCCATGTTCATAGCAGCACTATTTACAATAGCTAAGATCTGGAAACAGGCCAAGTGTCCATCAGTAGACGAATGGATAAAAAAGCAGTGGTACATATACACAATGGAATATTATACAGCTGTAAGAAAGAAGGATCTCTTATCCTTTGAGACAACATGGAGGGACCTGGAAAGTATTATCCTCAGTGAAACAAGCCAAGCAGAAAAAGACAAATACCACATGATCTCACTTATTTGTGGAATATAATGAACATAACAGTCTGAGGAATGGGGTAGACCCAGAGACGTGGAAGTAGGGTACAGACTGACAACCCTCAGAAGAGGGGGTGGTCGGGAGAGGGAAGAGATAAACCACAGAACTTATATGCATGTATGCATAACCAATGGACAGGGACAACAAAGCCTGGGATGGGGTGGGAGGTGTGGGGAGGAGGGTGTCAATGGGGTAAAAAAGGAGAAATATCTGTAACAAAAATAAAATAAAAATAATAATAATAAAAAAGAAAGAAAGGAACTGTCTTTGGAGGAAATATACACCAAAGTATTAAAAAGTGATGGGCACGAAGGCAAAATTTTCAAGGAAATAAAAGTTCTTTGCACTATAATGCGACGTTTTTAAAGTTTGAGATTGTCCCAAAGTTAAAAAAAAAAAAATTAAACTGAAATTATTAATAGTAAAGGTAATTTTTTTAATGTGCAAGATTGCCCTGGCCAGTTTGGCTCAGTAGTTAGAGCATCGGCCAGTGGTCCAGAGAGACCCGGGTTCAGTTCCTGCTAAGAACACATACCTCGGTTGCAGTTTATCCCCAGCCCCGGTTGGGGTCGTGCTGGTGGCAGCCAGTCGATGTATCTCTCTCACATCAATGTTTCTCTCTCTCTCTTCCTTCCTCTCTCCCTCTCACTCTACCTGAAGATGAATGCAAAGAAATTATCCTCGAGTGAGGATTAAATAAATAAATAAATAAATAAATAAATAAATAAATAAATAAATAAATAAGTAAATAAATAAAATGTGCAAGATCTATTAAAAGATAGATATCTATGGAAAGATAGATATAGATAGATATATTTTTTAGAAAGAGAGAGGGAGGAATGGAGAGATGGAAACCGATCTGCTGGGGATCGAGCCTGCAACCTGGGCATGTGCCCTGATCAGGAATTGAACAGGGACCTCTCAGTCCATGGGACAACACTCAATCCACTGAGCCACACGAACCAGGCTGAAAAGATAACTTTAAAATGTCTTTTACAAGAACGTAAGACAAATAAAATCACATACCATATTTTGGGGCAAGAAAACTCAACATCTTAAAGATATTTCTCTGTATAATATTTTTCTATAAATTTATTCCCAATAAAACAACAGCTTTTAGCCCTGGCTGGGTAGCTCAATTGGTTAGCACATTGTCCCAATATACCAAGGTTTCAGGTTCCATCCCTGGTCAGGGCACATACAAGAATCAAAAAATAAATGCATAAATAAGTGGAACAAATATCTTTCTCTCTCTCTCTCACTTTCTCCCTATCTCAAATCAATAAATTTTTTTAAAAATTAGTGTTTGGAACTTCACATACTGATTCAAAAGCTAAATGTAATGAGAAAAAAGAAACAATAGCACAGAAAGTTCTGAAAACATGTTATAAAGTTACAACAATTAAAACATTGAGGTAATGGTAATAAATAGACTGATCACTGTTTGAAATCAACCTAAAAGACTTTTAATATTGCAATGATTAAGTAAATTATGGTACACACATATAATATAATATTCTGTGTTCATTTTTAATAATGGTACTTTATATATACTCATATTTTTAAAGTCACATCCAAGTTAAACCATTAATTTTTTTTTTTTTTTTTTTTTGGTACGTGCCCCTAGCGGGAACCAAACCCGAGACTCTCTGGTCTGCAGGCCGATGCTCCAACTGGAATGTAAACAAATGTCTGATTAAAAAATGAGTTAGAAGATAGAGATAATGAGAGAGCAAAAATGAAGGAATATGTGTCATTCTTTAACCTCGTTGAACAGGAGAAAAATATATCTGCAGGAAGAATGTTCTGATGAACAGAGGTGAGTACTCTTCAGGGTCAGAGAAGCCCAGCAGGTGAAAAACACCCTGTTCAGATTAGTCTTCAACACTACACCCATCTCCATCTCCATCTGCCCTCCATTGCTTTTCCATGGACCAAGACATTCTGGAAAGAGCCCCAAAGAGCAGACACATATGCTTTGGATCCAGGTTCCAGTTCTTTTTGTGAGTTTGATTAGGGAGTAACATCGAGGACACTAGTCCTCTAATTCCTGACATACTCTGGATCAACTGGAGAAGTTCAGATAACTGAACCTATGATGTTGCAAATGAGAAAAGGACTATGAAGTGCCCTAAAACTGCTGTCATACACACACACACACACACACACACACACACACCCCAAAAGGTCCTATCTGTCCAACTGTCCTTACTTTAACATTTCCCTCTAATTTAAAGTTTTCCCACTCCTCTAAAAAATAGTAAATCAATATTTAAATACCTATTTTGTAAGGCTATCAAAGATATTTTTAAATATTTTATCTACTAATAAGGCTTGAGTGTTCAACTAAATTTCAAACATAGTTGTGGGCAAATTCACTGATGATTACACATTTAAACCAACACTGTATGTTTCTTTCCATTTTATTTGTAAGTTCCACTATAACTAGATATTTTCCAAATTTAACAGAAAGGCATCACCTACTTCATCCAAAACCCTCTCCATTCCTTCAACTCATGCCATACAGCTGGGTTTAATAAGGAATATTAGAACTTTCCAAATTATCGAGTTGTGAGCAACCATAAGTGAACATTCATTATCAACATGCTTGAGCAGGGCATGGAGAAATGAAATCCTACTTCAACAAAAAAGATGAAAAACAAGGCTTGGTAAACTTTTATAACTTAGACAGGAAAGGGGAAAAATCAGGCTAGTAGCAAAAACATGGGTCACCGTGCAGTGCAAGATTATATATCATGAACATGATGAACATGGAATGGAATGTATGTCCCACCTGGACAGGGGTCTCCAAAACACAGCCACTAGAAACCTGGGCTCCATCTGCCATTTTAATAAAGGTGTTATTTTGCCTATTTACAAATACATGTTAGTGTATAGGAAATTTGTTTTTTCAACTGAGACTTGCTTATTATAAATGCAATGTTTATTCTCAAAAAAAATTTTTTTAATAAAGGAAAATTGAAATTACTAGTAATCCCACCACCAAGTTAACATTCCAGTATATATTTTCTAAATATATGCACATTTATAAACACGTTTAAACACAGTTGGAACTATACATTGTATGCAATTTTGTTTTGGGGTTGTTTTTTTTATATTTTGTTCAGATAGAGTGGGAGGGAGAGAGAGAGAGAAAAACATCGACGTGAAAGGGATACATCGAGTGGTTGCCACCCTCACGACCCAACCAGGACCGAGGACAAACTGCAACCGAGGTACGTGCCCTTAGTGGGAACCGAACCCGGGTCTCTCTGGACCGCAGGCCAACACTCTAACCGCTGAGCAAACCTGGCCAGGGTCATTTTATGCAATTTTGAACACTGTTTTTATTTTCATTTAAACACAGAAGGTTTGGACTTATCTAATGTTTTTATTCTTCCAAGTTATGGATATCATAGCATAGTGTTCAGTTAAAACAGACCCTTGTGTTATTGCTAATATTTAACTAGCAAAATAGATGATAAGAGATCAATATTTCATAGTGGGACCAAACAGCACCAAGCTTTGATAAGTGAACAAATAAAAACCACAGCTCTAGGGATCAGCTCTAGTAATCCATTGGACTGTGACACCCTTACCCAGCTAAGCTCTTTAATTCACACATTCACATATACTTACTGGTTTGCCTTTATC